TAATTTTTTATTAGTATTTTTCACTGTTTAACTCTCCTTGATTGTTATTTTTTAAAGTATTTAAATAATTTCGGTGGTCGGGGGAAGTGTTGAGTCCAAGTGTTTTCCCCGTCTCTGTATAAACCGTCTCAAAGTTATTTTTTTATTGTATTTAACATTTATCTAACCAGGAGAAGTCCTATTGACGATTCAAAAATCTTTTTCAAGAGAGTCTTGGCTGAGACAGGCATCAGCGCAAAATAAGAATGAAGGAATGCTTAGACCTCCAAACGTGGATGCATTGGGTAGTCAGACACTTAAAATGGATGCCCCAGCATTTCTTCACTCGAATGCCTAGTTTGATGGTGAAGATGTGACAAGTGACAGGTCTTCCCACATTTGGGACTCTGCAGGGTTCAGGAGAGCATTTCTTTGCACCAAAGAAATTTTATAACATTTAGCAGATTTCCTCAACTCCTTTGTACCAAAGGAATGTTATAACATTTAGCAGTTTTCCTCAATTCCTGGTCCTCAATAGGTTGTGGAATGACTGCTGGCCACCGAGCTGCCACCAACTGATCTTTTAGTTCAGATAAGAAAGATGGTCCAGCACTCTACTGATAAGGTTGTGCAAGTTCCTGTAGAGTTTTACCATACGTAATGCCATGAGCGGGACTTCTTGCACTACCTCCAGTCAGTGACTATTGTCAGGTCTAGGACAATTTGTATTCCAACAAATACTTCATGCCGGCAGAAATCAGACTTGAGTAAGAGAAGTACAGTGGTGGAATCACTCCAGGAAATTACTCTCTATATTGGCAGGGTTAGCTGGTCAGCAAGACCAACCTGACATTTTGGTGCAACCCTGGACCTCACCATGACAAAGGACACATGGGTGTTGCCTGCCTCTTCCCCTATATGGCTGGATGTCTTGGATCATCCAATCCCTCTGAGTGTGCCACACATCCTGGACTAAGACTTTAGCCCTAGTTGTGTTGAGGAAGTTAAAGACAAGTGAATCATATTGGCTGCAGGATCTGTAAAATACTGAGCATAATGGAGGTATTGGTGCTAAAGGAAGAGCACCGATTGTAGCCCAGGGTATCTGGGATGCAGCTCCATCTTAGTCCAGTCCAGTGTTAGCTCCAGACGAAGAGAGCAATCGTTAGATGCTGTGCTACTTGACCTGGTTTCTTGTGTGAAATAACCTCTGTGGCAATGCTAACCCACTGGCAGATCTCAAAACATACCTTGGCCAGGATATTGCAGAATTTGTCTAAAGGAGCCTTAGCTTCAACAGTTGTCGACATAAAAAGTCTTCTTTACAATATATTTGGATGGATGTCTTATGTAATATGTCAAAACTGCTCCACCAAACAAAAATGTGCTCACATACTACAAAGACTGTAGGGCAAACACATGAGGGGCTTTATGAATTAGCCTACTATAATAATACGTAAAGGTTGGCCAACAACATTGTCTGTCATCCCAACCATGTCCTGAACAAAGAATACAAATTGTTATCATCAAACTGGAGATACAAGGTTTCCAAGATTTAACAAAGTTTGACTAAATTACTTTAATGTTGAAGATGGAACTTATTTGAATCATTGTACATATTGCAGTTCCCTCTGAAAATCAGGTCTTATCTTATAATATTACATCATAATTTATTTGTTGCTTATATTTTAGATTATTAATCATAATCTGTAAAGTAACTAGTAAATAACATTATCCGATAAATGTAGTGAAGTTAAAACTACAATATTTCCTCATGAAATGTAGTGGAGTAGAAGTATAAAGTAGTATAACATGAAAAAGTACTTCAAAATTGTATTTAAGTACAGTACTTGAGTTAATGTACAACCTGAGCTTAAATGGACAAAAAAAAACATCTAATAGTGTATTTAAGTATTAGAAATGAAGCAAAATAGTTTGTATGCATCTAATATTATTTTACTTTATTTCATTATTATGCCACAAACAAAATGCCATGTATTTACTGCTCCCATATTCACTGGAATTGAAAGGTTTGAGGAAATTGCCTTGGATACATAACAGCTGCAACTACATCACACATTTAACAATAAGATTCACAGTGAAATAATTGTGATTAACAGCTTTTCTTGGTTGAATGATAATTTTGACCAGCTTCTATAAGTGGATTTCAAGAAATACTAACAAATTAATAGTTAAACAAGTTCAAAAAACATATAGAGAGGTTAATTCACTCCATGTAT